AGGTTAAAAAGCGGGGGAACAAATTAAAGTGTAGAGTTATTGGTTTTATTTTCACTTGTTTATTTGTTTATGCAAGCAGTGTTATCAGCTTAAAATAATGGGTTGTAAGATAGTACTTGCAAGCCTCATAGTAACCTCAAACCAAAAAAACCTATAATGAATAAACAAAAAATAAAAAGTAAGAAATTAAATCAAACCATCACAGAAAATAACCTTCACTAAAAGGAAGATAGGAAAGAAGGAAAGAAAGAAGAAAAGACCACAAAACAACCAGAAAATAACAAAATGGGAGGAGTAAGTCTTTACCAAATAGTCATGCTGAATATAAATAGGCTAAACTCTCCAATAAAAAGATATATAGTGGCTGAATGAATAAAAACACAAGCCTCAATGATCTGTTGTGTACAAGAGACACACTTCACCTACAATGATACATACAGACAGAAAATAAAGGGATGGAAAGATATTCCATGCAAATGGAAAGCAAAAAAGAGCAGGAGTAGCTATACTTACCATCAGACAAAATATATTTCAAGACAAAAACTAGGAAGAAAGAAAGCCAATATGTAATGATAAAGAGGTCAATTCAGCAAGAGGATATGCCATTGTGTGAGGGTGTGTGTATGTGTCTGCATATATACAGATGCACACCCAGCACTGGAGCACCCAAATATATAAAGCAAATTATTAGAGCTAAAGACAGAGACAGACCCAATACAATAACAGCTGGAGACTTCAACACCTCATTTTCCATATCGGACAAATTTCCAGCAGAAGATCAACAAAGAAACATCAGATTTAATCTGCACTACAGAACAAATGGACCTAATAGATATTTACAGAATATTTCATCCAACAGCAGTAGCATACACATTCTTTTCCTCAGCACATGGATCATTCTAGAGGACAGACCATATGTTAAGACTCAAAACAAATCTGAAAACATTTTTAAAAACTGAAACAATATGAAGCCTCTTCTCTGCTACAATGGAATAAAACTAGAAATCAATAACAAGAATAATTTTAGAAACAATACAAACACATGAAAATTAAAGAATATGCTCCTGAATGACCAGTGGGTCAATGAAGAAATTAAGAAGAAAACTGAAAAATTTCTTGAAGCAAATGATAATGAAGATACAACGTACCCAAACCTATGGAATATAGTGAAAGTAGTACTAAGAGCGAATTTTATAGCTATTAGTGCCTACATCAAAAAAGAAGAAAAACTCCAAATAAACAACCTAATGATGCATCTTAAAGAACTAGAAAAGCAAGAGCAAATCAAACCCAAAATTAGTAGAAGAAAATAAAGATCAGAGCACAAATGAATGAAATTGAAATTTTGAAAATACAAAACATCAACAAAACAAAAAGTTGGTTTTCTGAAATGATAGACAAACTTGACAAACCTTAACCAAGACTAAGAAAAAAAAGACCGAAGACACAAGTAAATAAAATTAGAGATGAAAAAGGAGACATTACAACTGATACCACAGAAATTCAAAGGATTCTCTTAGTGGTTACTCTGAGCAACTAAATGCCGGTAAACTGGAAAATCTAAAGGAAATGGATAAATTCCTAGACACACAGAATCTACCAAGATTGAACCAAGAAGAAATTCAAAACCTGAACAGACCTATAACAAGCAATGAGATCAAAGCCATAATAAAAAGTCTCCCAGCAACGGAAAGCGTGGGATCTGATGGCTTCACTGCTAAATTCTACCAAACATTTAAAGAACTAATACCAATCCTATTCAAACTATTCTGAAAACAGAGGAGGAGGGAGTATTTCCAAACTCATTCTACAAGGCCAGTATTATCCTGATACCACAACCAGGCAAAGACACATTAAAAAAAAAAAAAATTGCAGGCCAATATCACTGATGAACACGGATGCAAAAATCCTCAACAAAATACTAGCAAACCAAATTCAACAACACATTTAAAAGATTATTAATCATGACCAAGTGAGATTTATCCCAGGGATGCAAGGATGGTTCAACATACACAAATTAATCAATGTGATACATCATATCAACAGAATGAAAGACAATACCATATGATCATTTCAACTGATGCTCGAAAAGCATTTAAAAAAATTCAACATCCCTTCACGATAAAAACTCTCAAAAAGGTAGGTATAGAAGGAATATTCCTCAACATAATGAAAGCCATATACAACAGACCACAGCTAGTATGGTACTGAAAAGGGAAAAACAGGAAGCCTTTCCTCTAACATCTGAAACATAATAAGGATGCCTACTTTCACCACTGTTATTCAACAAAGTACTGGAAGAACTAGCTGGAGCAATCAGAAAAGAGAAAGAAATAGAAGACATCCAAAGTGGAAAGGAAGAAGTCAAATTACCTATTTGCAGGTGATATGATCTTATATTCAGAAAAGCCTGAACACTCTACAAAAAAACTATTAGAATTGATAAATTCAGTAAAGCTGCAGGATACAAAAAACAACATACAAAATTCAGTAGCATTTCTATTTGACAACAGTGAACAATCTAAGAAAGAAATTTTAAAAATTAACCAAAGAAGTGAAAGATCTCTACAATGAAAACTATAGAACAGTGATGAAAGAAACTGAAGAGGACACCAGAAAAATTGAAAGATATTTTGTTTATGGATTAGAAGAATCAGTATTGCTAAAATGTCCATATTACCCAAAGCAATCTATAGAATACCATGCCATTCTTAATAGGAATAGAAAAAAAAAAAATTCTACAATTTATATGGAATCAAAAAAGACCCAAACAGCCAAAGCTATCCTGAACAAAAAGAACAAAACTGGAAGAAATCACATTACCTGCCTTCAAGTTATACTACAGAGCTCTATAGTAGCCAAAATGGCATAGCACTGGCATAAAAAGAGATATGTAGATCACTGGAACAGAATAGAGAACCCAAAAATAAATCCATACATCTACTGAATTCATTTTTTACAAAGGTGCCAAGAACATACATTGGGAGAAAGGACAGTCTCTTCAATGAACAGTGCTGGGAAAACTGGATATCCATATACAAAAGAATCAAACTCCTTTATCCTTTATCTTGCCATATACAAAAATCAGATTAAAATGGATTAAAAACTTACATCTAAGACCTCAAACTATGAGACTACCGTAAGAAAACACTGGGGATACTCTCTAGGACATTCATCTGGCAAAGATTTCTTGAGGAATACCCCACAAGCACAGGCAACCAAAGTAAAAATGGACAAATGGACATATCAAGTTAAAAAGCTTCTGCAAAGCAAAGGAAACAATCAACAAAGTGAAGAGACATCTCACAGAATAGTGGTTCTCACTGTGCAGTTTGGAGAAGGTGCAATACTCTCCAGTGCCACCACTACCATTACTATAAATAATGTTTGTAAAATTCACACGTAGTCAACAATTTAGGACAGTCATGCCTGCTTACAGATGTTATTTGTCTGTTAAAACTAGTCTACAGATTGTTTCATGAATGCTTTGTCAAATTATGATAAAGTGCAATAATGTTTGAAGACTATAAGTGACACTGTATCTTGTTTCTAACAAGATAAACTTTGTTTTTGTCCTTGCTTTATCTCAAAAAAAGTGTATATCCCTTAATATTATACATTGCATTCCAGGAATATATCATTCATTCCTTCCACCCAGCCAATGTTTATTCATTGAGTTCTTAACACAAGCCAGGAACTATGATCGATGTTGGGAAAAATGAACAGATGTAGTTCCTTACCCCATAAATGTATATAAATAATGTATATACAGACAGTTACCAACTTACAATGGTTCAATTTACCATTTTTTGACTTTACAATATATTCATACAACTATTGTTTTTCATTTTCAGTATAGCATTCAATAAATTACATGAGATATTCAGTACTGTAGCATAAAACAGGCTTTGTGTTAGATGATTTTGCCCACCTGTAGGCTAAGGTAATTATCCTGGGCATGTTTAAGGCAGGCAAGGCTAAGCTATAACGTTCTGTAAGTTAGGTGTATTAAATACATTTTCCACTTAAACAATGGGTTTATTGAGATATAATCCCATCGTAAGTTGAGGAGCACACAAATCTGTACACAGACATACATACAGATAGACAGACACACGGACGGACAGATGGATAGATAAATCTATAGATATATTGAAGGAAAGGCATAGAATATTATGAATTAGGGACCTAGTTTAGATTAAAGGGGACAGTGCAGAACTCTCAGAGAGGGTGATATTTATTTATTTTTATTTTTGAGACAGAGTCTCATTCTGTCACCCAGGCTGGAGTGCAGTGGCCTGACCTTGGCTCACTACAACCTCCATCTCCCAGGTTCAAGCAATTCTCCTGTCTCAGCTCTCAAGTACCTGGGACTACAGGTGCACGCCACCAAGCCCGGCTAATTTTTGTACTTTTAGTAGAGATGGGGTTTCACCATGTTGGTCAGTCTGGTCTTGAACTCCTGACCTGAAGCAATCCACCCACCTCAGCCTCCCAAAGTGCTGGGAATACAGGCGTGAGCCACCGTGCCTGGCTGAGAGGGTAATATTTAAACTGGAAACTATTCAGGCAAAGAAGGAAAGAACATTCTAGACAAAGGATATACCTCATATGAATGCCCTGAAGAGAAAATAACTTAAGATGTTCTAGAAACCAAAAAATGCTGGTGTGACTGCGGCAGTGTAAGAGACAGAAGAGATCTAGTGATGAAATTGGAGAGGCAGGTGGAGCCAGATCACAGAAAGTCTACAGACACCAACGGTGTGTCAGGTTTCATGGTATCATGCAAAGCCAATAAAAAGCTTTAAGTAAGAAACTGGCATTTCATTTGGTATTTTAAAAAGATCACTCTGGTCTCTATAAATGGGTAAGAGGAGTGAAAAAGTAGAAATGAAGATGCCTGTTAGGAGAATGCCACAGTAAGCAGAGGGAGAAATGAGGGTGTCTGGAGTAGCACTGTGGTAGCAGAAATGGCACTGAGGGAAAAGATTGTTAATTCTAGTTTGGAGGATGTTTAAATAAACTACAACAAATCCAGAGAACAGATCATAAAAGCTCACTCTCATCTCATGATTCTTCATCAACGTTTAGAAACAGTGTATCACATGGACCTTGAAGAAGAGGTAGAAGTACTTACAAAATTTTGGAGCTAAAAGGAAGCACAAGAATCCCGTAGTCATCTTTTACTACCCACACATACGTGTAGTTAGAATCAGAGTAAGCATCAGATTATGATCTTTAGCCTCCATAGATTATCCTGCCATATGATCTCATGAACAGGAATATACTTTACCAACTTTCTCTTTTCAAACTTAACTAGACACCACTCCACTTTGCTACAACTCTTGTAATGCACTGCTTACTCATTCTGGAATTTGGAGAAAGGATGGAGAATGAAGAAGGAATGGGAAATCAAATTTTAAAGAGTAAGTATCATTCTCACTAAATCAACCCACAAACAAGTAATATTCTCTTCTGTTCCTTACCCTACTTTCCGGGCCCCAGGCATACTCAGAAGCCTGATATAAGATCCTGGGGCCGGCCGGGCGCGATGGCTCAAGCCTGTAATCCCAGCACTTTGGGAGGCCGAGACGGGCGGATCACTAGGTCAGGAGATCGAGACCATCCTGGCTAACACAGTGAAACCCCGTCTCTACTAAAAAAATACAAAAAACTAGCCGGGCGAGGTGGCGGGCGCCTGTAGTCCCAGTTACTCAGGAGGCTGAGACAGGAGAATGGCCCGAACCCGGGAGGCGGAGCTTGCAGTGAGCTGAGATCCGGCCACTGCACTCCAGCCTGGGCGACAGAGCGAGACTCCGTCTCAAAAAAAAAAAAAAAAAAAAAAAAAAAAAGATCCTGGGGCCAAAGCACTTGAAGAAAACAAGAGCCTCATGATCATTTGAAATGTGAGTTAACTCCAAAGATTTAAGCATGACTAATTTAGAGAAAATCGGGCCAAGGATTAACGATCATTCTCCAAAACTTTTCTATTCTTAATTCCCAGGATTACACAACTATTAATTATAGTGAGTAACTCTTCTTGTTCTAAGTAATAGAAAATTTGTATCTACTATGTCCTAAATAACATGTTATATGAATTTCACCTCAATAGGTCTACACTAATGTGTTATATCACTGTATCCCTTCCTTAACTTAAAAATATTATAAATGTACGGTTATATATAACTGTACACTGCAATCAGATGTTACATGAAAATTCTAACCTTAAACATGGGCCTCACATGCTCCAAATGTGTTGCACTTGTAAAAGGTGCCTGAACATGGCTCACGGCCTCCATGAGTGCTTTAGCTGTCTTGGCCATCTGCTCCATTTCTAAGTTATACAGAAGTCTTCTTTGTTTTTCACTGGCTACATCTGAAACAATAAACACTATCAGCATTTAAAATATAAAACATTTAAGAATTCTATTTTGATGTTTTACTATCAAATAATAAACACCACCAACACTAATTAAAAATAATCCTAAGAAGCAAGACTCAAAAGATCCCATATTGTATGATTCCACCTATATGAAAAATCCAGAATAGGTAAAATCCACGGAAATAGAAAGTAGACTGGTATTTTCCAGGGGCTGGGGGAGAGGGAATAAGGAGTAATTGCTTGATGGGTTTGGAGTTTCATTTTGGGATAATGAAATATTTTGGAATTAGAGGTGGTAGTTGCACAACACTGTGAATGTACTAAATGCCGCTGAATTATTCATTTTTAAATGGCTAATTTAATGTTATATGAATTTTGCCTCAAAAAATAAATACCTAGACTGGGAGTCAGGAATAAGTGGAAAACCTATGAAAAGGGAAACGAGTAGGTACAACTGTCACAATAAAATTATTAGGGAAACAACCCAAACATGGAACTGGAGAAGAGTAGAGAGGTAAAATGCAATGGTATCTGGCCGGGTGTGGTGGCTCATGCCTGTAATCCCAGCACTCTGGGAAGCCGAGGCAGGCGGATCACCTGAGGTCAGGAGTTCAAGACCAGCCTGACCAACACGGAGAAACCTGGTCTCTACTAAAAATACAAAAAAATTAGCCAGGTGTGGTGGCACACGCCTGCAATCCCAGCTACTTGGGAGGCTGAGACAGGAGAATCGCATGAACCCAGGAGATGGAGGTTGTGGTGAGCCGAGATCGCGCTGAGCCCTGATCATGCCATTGCACTCCAGCCTGGGCAACAAGAGCAACACTCCGTCTCAAAAAAAAAAAAAAAAAAAAAAAAAAAAAAAGAGGCAATGGCATCTTTGTACCACACAGGTTTGAATGACAGCTCCTGAGTTAACAAGAAAACAACTGGCCGTAACTTAACTCCAGGGTAATTTTGGTGTTTTCAGCACACCACCATCTCCTTCCCATTTCCAGCTTCTCTTATTTCCTACCACCATATATAAAATAGGACAGAAAAAGAGGGATATGAGGATGATACAATATATAATATTCTTTTCTCCTGCCATTTGTATTTTTCTACTGTACTTTGTTTAAACTTGAGATTTTAGTTCCAAGTGGAAGTGCTCAGAAATGCAAGAATCCTCTTTCTATATTACTGTTATATTCTTGAGCCATTACCCTCATCTCATTCCTGTAGTCAGATTTCAGCTCAAACTTAATTACCACTGGCCACAGGTACAGAGTGTCTAGAAGGGGGCTGGGTTCACAGGTGCCTACTGGTGCTAGTTAGATCTAGGGACTCTATAGTGATATAACTTGTGGTCTGTTTGAGGTAGCAATTTCTAACTCTATGAGCTCTCACCTGATCCTAAGTCTCCCCACCTCTTCCAATCATCCCTACTTTCAGCTTCTGTTTATGTGTAATAAAAGATGAACAAATGGAAATATATCGCTTGAAGATGATGAAGAAGAAGAAAAAATGACAAGGGTCTTGAAGCCTGACTATTGAGTCTAACTACTCTTTATGACCTCCAAATCCTTGCTGAGGTTAACTACTAAATGGATCCGCGTATATTAAATGCACACTGACACATGCATATAATGTATTCCATTTTCCACTAATCACTGGTCAGTGTTATCTTTCTTCAGAATGTAGGGAAAAAAATACAATCACATCACCAAACTCTATTATAATATTTCTCATCAAAACATGGTTCTTAACAGTATTTCTAAGGTTACTTTATTCTAAATAAAGTGAAAAACTCTCTTTTAAATTATAAAGTTTTTTCTTTTTTAGAGACAAGAACCTCGCTATATTGCCTATGCTGGTCTCGAACTCCTGGGTTCAAGTGATCCTTCTGCTTCAGCCTCCCTGAGTAGCTGGGGACTATAAATGCAAACCACCACACCTGACCATAAGTGAAAAACTCTTAGGAACCCATATTTTCCCCCTTGAACAATCAGAATTCAATTAATTTAAATACTTACTTTGTTTACTTGATTTTGTAGGGATTGTTAGTTCTTTTGTTTCTTTCATTGATATCTTTTTCCCAGCTATTTCATTATAGATGGCTGATAGATACTCTTCAGGAAGGTCTTTACTGTCATTGATACCTCTATTCATCTTAATGTACTGTTCCTTTGTCATTTTATTTTTCACCTAAATATGAAAAACCATTATAATTCCTAAAAATTAACATAAAGGTTACACTTGTATTTTAAGGATATGAATATTTACATAAGAGATTTTGTAAATACTTTTGAGGATAGAAACTGGAAAACATTCAACAAAATATAGATAAAAATGAAAAAAAAATCACAGAAAACGAAGGCAATACAGAAAAGACCCATTCTGGCAGAAACTAATTCACGCTCTGAGGTGGACATGAGTAATGTGAAACCAGAAAGGAGGGAAGTTGAACAATGAAAATATTTGTTTTTGCCCAAGGTTTAAGAGCTCCTGCAATCTCTTAATAGGGCCATGACAATTATTGGAAACAACGGTATCGAAAACATTCAAATCTTAGTTTAGAAGAACATAAATGTGCTGTTAATGAATTTAAAGTTGACTTTATATACAATGGGTATAAGCATAACAATACTTGAGATTTATTTAAAACCAGATAATAATCTCTCTGACTGAGTCACTGTGGCAACTGAATTATGTCAGGTGATCTGTACAAAGTATCCTTGGAATGTTTTGTCCTGTGTACGAGTACCCTAAACAGAAATGCTTTTTGCACCTTGATAAAGCTGTGGAATACAAGTTTGGAGTCTGTAAGATGGTAGGCCTATTAACAAACTTGGGAACTAGCATAGCCAAAATGTTTACACTTTACCTCCAGAAACCTAGATAGAAAAAACCCAGAAGTCTTATGTGATGTTTCTGAAGAGACACTTATTTAATTAAATATATTTCTACATCTTATATGATGTCTCTGAAAAGATATTTATTTAATTAAGTATATTTCTACCACCTTCCACAAAGAACTTAAGGTAAACTCTTAAGATATGATTCCTGTAAATTTACATAAAAGTACACAGAAAAATAATCAAGCGAGTCATCAGAAGCTTGCAAAAATAACTATAGAGAGTGTGGTGTTATGTGCCTGTAGTCCCAGCTATTCAGGAGGCTGAGGAAGGAGGATGGCACAAGCCCAGGAATTCAAGTCCAACCTAGGCAACATAGCAAAACCCTGTCTCAAACAAAAAGCAAAAGTACAGAGGAACCAAAACTTTCAGAAAATGTAACTGGGATACATACACTTATTTACTTCAGATAATTCTGCAAACAGATTTTTCTAACATGTCAGAAAGGGAGGCAGGAGTGCTTTTCCTACAAAAATGTAAAAATATTACCATGAAAGTTTTCAAGCGTAACGTATCATTTAATGGGATAAAATGCTATCATCTTATAACTTCAAAAACTCATCTTGAGTCACGGCACAAAAAAAAAAAAAATGAAAGAAAGAAGCTTTTTTAACTAAAGTTCAGGTGAATGCTTAAAAAACACACCAGGAATAACAAAATAAAAGACTACACACTGCTGCCAGTAAGAAGTAAAGGAAGATTAAAATCACTTGGAAATTTTAAGCATGGTAAAATGTTTTAGCATTATGTCAATCAGAAGCAAAGAAAAGTCTTTTTTTTTTCTTTTTTTGAGACGGAGTCTCACTCTATGGCCCAGGCTGGAGTGCAGTGGCCGGATCTCAGCTCACTGCAAGCTCCGCCTCCCGGGTTCCCGCCATTCTCCTGCCTCAGCCTCCTGAGTAGCCACCCGCCACCTCGCCCGGCTAGTGTTTTGTATTTTTTTTTAGTAGAGATGGGGTTTCACCGTGTTAGCCAGGATGGTCTCGATCTCCTGACCTCGTGATCCGCCCGTCTCGGCCTCCCAAAGTGCTGGGATTACAGGCTTGAGCCACCGTGCCCGGTCGAAAAGTCTTGACAGAAAATCTGAAGTAGCAGTTTATTGTCTCTGGATCTGGGTTAGGGATCCCATACGTGGGTGTACAGAATACTTTGCTTTCGGGTCCCCAAAATAAAGCACACTGCTTCACACAGAACACTTCTGTCACAGTGGGAGTCTGAAGCTGTATAAAACAAAATCTGACTTTTCTTCTCCTGACATCTTTTATGGAATATTCTACTCCTGACTTTTATCCTCATGTGCTTGTATTAAGCTGTGCCTTATTTGGTGTTTAAATCACTTAAAGCCAGTTGTTACTACTGATGATTATTGTAAACATAAAAATTAAGTGTGTTCTAAATATGCCTAAAATTTTTTTTTAAATCACTGACTCACACACTACATAAAAAAATAGCATAACTATAAATATTCTGGGTGAAAAGGGAACATAAACAGCTTGTTAAAATCCATCTATATTTTAAGTTTGAAAAGAACTAAGAATGAGAATTAGTTTTAAGAAATTCCTTTAAAGTTATTTGTATTTTAAAATGTTGTCATTTGTTATAGTTAGTTAAATCAACTGAGGCCAAGATCATGCGTACAATTTTCTAACAGATTACTTAGCTTCATAGAAACTCACAAGCTGTTCTACAGCTGCAGGCTGCATAGCAGCACATGACACCAGGCAGCAAGCTACTAAGGAACAGTTGGACAACAAGCAGTTGCCACCGCTAGACTAGGACTTCAAGCACGTGTTCTGCAAACAGGCACTGTTACACTGAAGACGGGACACTGTTGTGAAGGTAATGCTCCCTAACTGTTATGTCCTTAGAAACTTTTCACAGTCTGGGTACTTATGAAAAGATATAAAAGGAATTTTTAATATTTCTTCAAAATCACATAAGTATGTACATATGTATAGGAAGACATTGCACAGGTGCATATAATACTGCTTATTCATTTATAAAACCAAATGTCTTTTAAAGCATAGCCTTTTAAAATCAAATGTATGTAAACCCAGGTTAAAATATTCTAGTTAGATTGAAAAATCAAATGAAAAAATTAGACTGAAAATTCTGGTGTAAAAATACAAAAAACACAAATACAAAAAAATCCCAACTATGAACTACCTTATAAAGCCATAGAGTAAAAGTCATCACGCTCGATAATAAAAGCCCTGAAGGTGAGCTGCTTTGACTATACTGCCAATAATATGCGAGAGGCAAATCTTGAATTATTAAAATCTTTAATAAATTTTTAAAAGTCCTATATAAAATCAAGTACATTTGTGGTAAATGCATAGTTGCTCAATGTTGTGTTTAAAACAGGAGTAACTTCATATATAATCATATGTATATACATATGTCTATAATCATATACATTCTTACTTTAGGTTTGGTATATACTCTCCTTATCTACTCTGCTTTAAACATCTCAAAACAGACACAAAAAATCCCTATACTGCAAAGGTTAATCTCAAAATTCAAATAAATTTTAATTTTTCCAATACATCTCAGACTAGAAAGTAGGTAATTTATTTTACTTTATTTAGAAAGTAGGTAATTTAAAGTAGGTAATTTAAGAATAACAAATATCATTAGATACCTACCCCTAGAAGTACTAAGAAATCCTTGCAAATAATTTATAAAGGTAATTTTACCCAAGGATGTCAATGTGTGTTTTTAGAAACTAAGCAAAAAATACTAAAACTATAAAATCAAACGTTTTGGTAGATATCAGAAATCAAGTGACAGTTCTTTAATATTTAAGAAGGAAATATGAATTTTATGAGGCAAAAGAAATGAACATTTCTAGGTATCAGGTATCTTTATGATTAACTTTTTAGGTACGATGGTATTATGGTTATGTTTAATTAGAGTACTTCTCTTTTAGAGAAACATACTGAGATAAATGCAGATGAAATGGTATGATATCTGAGATCTGCTTCAAAATTATCTAGGGGAGGGAAGAGATACAGATACAAGAAGACCGGCCATAAGTTGATAACTGTGGAAGGCAGGTAATGGGTACATTAGAGTTCATTATACTAATCCCTCTACTGTTGAAGTTTGAAACTTTTTTTTTCCTTTTTTTGAGACACGGTCTGCCTCTGTCACCCAGGATGGACTGCAGTGACACAATCTCAGCTCACTGGATGACTTGTGCCTCCCAGGCTGAAGTGATCCTCCCACCTTAGCCCTCCAAGTAGTTGGGACCACAGGCACATGCCACAGTGCCCAGCTAATTTATGCATATTTTGTAGAGACAGGGTTTCATCATGTTGCCCAGGCTGGTCTTAACTCCTGGACTCATGTGATCCACCTGTCTCGGCCACCCAAAGTGCTGGGATTACAGGTGTTAGGTACCACGCTTGGCCTGAAACATTATATTTTTTAGAAAGATGGTTTATACATAGTGTTTTTCCATCTTGTGACAAGTAGACATAAGACCTATAAACGTCTTGTTAGATTAAAATTTATCTTAAGCTTTATACAATTGTCAATCATGAATGACAAATACAGAAACATTTTATAGATAACTGAAAGTCTGATTTTAATTACTACCAGAAGTTGCTTTTGTAAAACATTCACCATCCCAAATTAAATACCCAAATATGGTGACTGGTTTAACTGAATAAAACTAAAATTTCAACTATTACTTACTGAATTCAGAATAATGTATTTATTTTGTACCACTTATTGTGAAACTGACTTAAAAGAAGACATACCTGTGGACTGTGAAGGTCTGTGGTCAACATGATAATTGAATAAGCCAAAACATAAGCAGTATCCGCACTAGCAAAGAGAGTTTGTCTGGAAAAATAAATTTATTATGTTATAAAGTACTGTTTTACATAGATTCATTTAAATAAGTCACCTCAAATCCCATAGCATTTGTATTTTTCTAAGTATCTCACATTATAATTTTTTATGGATTTGTTTTATGACTTCCAGATTGTAGACAATCTAAATTCTCTAAACAGGAGATTAGGTCCTATTATCTATAAATCCTTGGATGCTACCTAGCACGGTGTTTTGGATATAACAGTCAGTCAATGAGCATTTGAACCTTATTTACCCTTGGTTGCATTCTAGGTATCTTGCAGCAAATTTTTCCATTAATCGATCGATTTTCTGAGCTTCCCCTGGAAGACGAAATCCTTCTAGAAACATACGAAGGGCTGAAACGAAGTCTTTTCCTGAAAAGTCATGTTGGTCCACATATGCATACATGACTTCTTTGTTAAATTTATCATTATCTCCCAGGAACTCACCCACTTGAGTCTAAAGTAAAAACAGAGATAGAAATTGATATTTTCTTTTCTTTCTTTTTTTTTTTTTTGAGACGGAGTCTTGCTCTATTGCCCAGGATGGGGTGCAGTGGCGCAATCTCGGCTCACTGCAACCGCTGCCCCCACGTTCAAGCGATTCTCCTGCCTCAGCCTCAAGTAGCTGGGATTACAGGCACCTGCTACTGCGCCCAGTTAATTTTTTTTGTATTTTTGGTGGAGACAGGGTTTCACTATCTTGTTCAGGCTGGTGTTGAACTCCTGACCTCAGGTAATCCACCCGCCTGAGCCTCCCAAAGTGCTGGGATTACAGGCATGAGCCACCGTGCCTGGCCAGAAATTGAGATTTTCATGAGATGTTTACATTCGCCACACGGTCACTTAAAAAGTAGAAAATTTCGTTAAGATCCACAGGCTTTTGACTATAGAGTTAACAATTTCAAACACAAAGCTTAAACACACTAACTGCCTTCATAAAAATATCAGGAAATTCTTTTGTTTAGAAAATTTAAAAAGCAGAATTTATATTTTAGACACACAGACACACAGACACACAGACACACAGACACACACACACACACACACACACACACACACACACGTCATCACTCAGTATCAGTGGGGGATTGGTTCCAGGACCCCGCATGGATAATCCATGGATGCTCAAGTTCCTTATAAAAAATGGCATAGTATTTGCATATAATCTATGCACATCCTCCCACATATTCTACTCCCATATCTAGATTACTTATAATATATAATATAATGTAAATAGGTTTTCTGCATTGTTTAGGAAATAACTACAAGAAAAAAGTTTGTACACATTCAGTAGAGATGCAATCACCCATTATTCCCCCTGAATATTTTCAATTTGTGGTTGGTTGAATCCACAGATGTAGAATCCATGGATACAGAACTCATGGCTACAGAGGGCCAATTACAGATGATTTTATAACCAAGAATATTCTTTTTGTTTGTTTTTGAGACAGACTCTCACTCTGTAGCCCACGCTGGAGTGCAGTGGTGCAACCTTGGCTCACTGCAACCTCCACCTCCTGGGTTCAAGTGACTCTCCTGCCTCAGCCTCCTGAGTAGCTGGGATTACAGGCGCCCACCACCACACCCAGCTAATTTTTTGTATTTTTATTAGAGACAAGGTCTTGCCACATTGGCCAGGCTGGTCTCGAACTCCTGACCTCGGGTGATCTACCTGCCTCAGCCTCCCAAAGTGCTGGAATTACACACGTGAGCCACTGTGCCCAGCCAACCAAGGTTATTCTTTATGTTTTACTTACCTCTATACTTAGGAAAGCATTTTAAAGGAGTCACAATATGTATTATTAACTTAAAAAAGAATTTTACAGAAAAGGGGCCAGGCGTGGTGGCTCACACCTGTAATCTCAGCACTTTGGGAGGCTGAGGCAGGAGGACTGCCTGAGCCCAGGAGTTCAAAACTAGCCTGGGCAATATAGCGAGACCCTGTCTCTAATAAAAAGAAAAAAAAAATCCCAAGAATTTTACAGAAAAGGTTAGAAAGAAAATGGTATTCTTACAGAGTCTAATCTTTCCTCTTGATGTAAGAATTGGGCAATATCTTCAGGTGTGGTGCCAAGCATCCCTTGTTCTTGGAGGTACTGTATTCCTCTCTTTGGTTTCTTATTAAATCTAGATGATGTTAAAGTTAATAGGAACATTAAAAATAGAAAACCATTCGTAGTCCCTGAAAAGATCTTAAACCACAGTAAATTAATTTTCTAACAGCACCCAGAAAAACAGCAGCTTATTTAATACAAATCAGTATATGAATATACAAAATAATTACATTGTGCCAAGTTTTCTTTATTTTCTTTATAGAAGTAAGTCTCATGGAAGGCCATCCTTATTACTATCATTTCACTGACTTTTTGTTACAGTATGAAGCGTTTTTTAAATCCATATCGACAGTGGGAAATTAGACTAAGAGAGACTATTAGAGAGAAAGCCATGTAGTAGACGAACTTTGAGTAAGGCTATGAATACTAAATATCTCATACAGGCATACTTCATTTTATTGCACTTCAAAGATATGTGGTTTTTACAAATTGATGGTTTGTGGCAACCCTGCATTGAAGGTCTATCAGTACCATTTTTCCAAAACCACATGCTCACTTTGTATCTGTGTCACATTTTGGTAATTCTCACAATAGTTCACACTTTTTCATTATTGTATCTGTTACTGTGACCTGTGATCAGTGACCTTTGATGATGCTATTGTAATTGTTTTGGGGTGACACAAACCACACCCATATAAGATGGCAAACTTAATAATCATATGTGTTCTGATTGCTCCACTGACTGGTTGTTCCTCATCTCTCTTCCTTTCCTTGGGCTTCCCTATTCCAAGACAAAAAAAATACTGAAATTGGGCCAATTAAGAACCCTACAATAAGTGTTCAAGTGGAAGGAAGAGTCGCACATCTCTCACTTTAAATAAAAAACTAGAAATGACTGAGCTTAGTGAGGAATGCATGTCAAAAGCCAAGACTTACTGAAAGCTAGGTCTCTTGCGCCAAATGAAGTTGTGAATGCAAAGGAAAAGATCTTGATGGAAGTTTAAAGTGCCACTCCAGTGAACACACAAGTAGGAAAGCAAAACAGCCTAAATGCTGATATGGAGAAGGTTTTCATGTATGAAAAGAAGGTCACAACATTACCTTAAGGCAAAGCCTAATCCCAAGAAAGGCCCTAACTCTCTTCAAGTCTATAAGGCTAAGAAAGGTAATGAAGCTGCAGAAGAAAATCTGGAAGCTAGCAGAGGTTGGATCATGAGATTTAAGGAAAGAAGCGGTCTCCATAACATAAAAGCACAAAGTCTGATAGCAAGTGCTGATGGAGAAGCTGCAGCAAGTTATCCAGAAGATCTAGCTATGATCATTTATGAAGGTGGTTACACTAAACAACAGATTTTCCACATAGATAAAACAGTTTTTCTTCTATTGGAAGAAGATGCCATCTATGACTTTCATAGCAAGAGAGGAGAAGTTAATGCCTGGCTTCAAAGCTTCAAAGGACAGACTGGCTCTCTTGGGGACTAATATAGCTGATGACATTAACAAGTCAATGCTCATTTAAAAATTCCAAAGATCCCAGGGTCCTTAAGAATTACATGCTAAATCTACTCTGCCTGCACTCTAGAAATGGCACAACAAAGCCTGGATGACAGCACCATCTGTTTACAACATAGATGACTGAATATTTGAAGCCCACTGTTGAGACCTACTGCTTCAAAGAAAAGATTCCTTTCAAGAGATTACTGTTCATTGACAATGCACCTGATCACCCAGGAGCTCTGATGGAAATGTGCAATGAGATTAATGTTGCTTTCATGCCTGCTAACACAATACCCATTCTGCAGCCCTTGGATGAAAGAGTGACTTTGTTTTTGTAGAAATGCAGTCTCGCTATGCTGTCCAGGTTGATCTCAAACTCCTGGACTAAACTGATCTTCCCACCTTGGCTTCCCAAAGCTGGGATTACAGAGGCATGAGCCACTGTGCCCTTTCCTCATGAGTAACTCTGAATTTCAAGTCTTTTTTTTTTTTTTTTAAAGAAATTGCTACATTGCGCACACTGATCTTGAACTCCTGGCCTCAAGCCTCATGAGTAGCTGGGATTACAGGTGTAAGCTACCATGCCTGGCTAACTTTCAAGTCTAGAAAGAAATACATTTCATAAGGCTATAGCTACCATGTAGAGAGATACTTCTACTGAATCTGGGAAAAGTAAATTGAAAACCTTCTGGAAAGGATTCACTGTTCTAGATGCCATTAAGAACATTAGTGACTCATGCGAGGGGTAAAAACACCAACATCAATAGGAGTTGGGAAGAAGCTGACTCTAACCCTTATGGATGATTTTGAGGAGTCCAAGACATCAGTGGAGGAAGTAACTGCAGACGTGGTAAAAGTAACAAGAGACCTAGAAGTAAAGTGTGAAGATGACACTGAATTGCTGTAGCCTTATGATCAAACTTTAACATATGAGTAGCTGCTTCTTATAGACAAGTGAAAACAGTGATTTCTTGAGATGGAATCTACTACTGGTGAAGATGCTGTGAACACTAGTGGAAAGAAAATTAGAGATTTAGAATATTCCATAAATTCAGTTCATAAAATTACAGCAGATTTTGAGAGGACAGACTCCAATTTTGAAAGACATATTACTGTAGGTAAATACTAACAAACAGCATTACATGCTACAGAGAAATCTTTTGTGAATGGAAGAGACTATCAAGGCAGCAAACTTTACTGTTGTCTTACTTTAAGAAATTACCACAGTTACTCCAAATTTCAGCAACCACTACCCTGATGAGTCAGCAGCCATCAACACTGAGATAAGACACTCTACAACAAAAAGATTACAACTCATTGAAAGCTCAGATGGTTACTAGTATTTTTCAGCAATAAAGTATTTTTAAATTAATGTGTGTACATTGTTTTTTAGACATAAGGGGATTGCAGGTTAATAGACAGTATAGTACAATATAAACATAACTTTAATGCACTAAGAAATCAAAAAAATTGTGTGACTCACTATATTGCAATATTTACTTCACTGCTGTGGTATGGAACTGAACCCACAGTATCTCTGAGGTACTCCGAATATACATTCTCCCTTAATCTTCAAGTAATCTTGGCTCATTTGTCCAAATTAATTAGACCACACAAAATCTTTCTCATTTATAGCTCCAGATTCTCTCTCACTCCCTTCTCCTTCCTCTGCTCCCATTCCCTAAATCTATTTTCAGAGTCTATTTCCTCTGCTTGTCTTTTATCTGCTCCATTCACAGGGGAGTCTCCCTCAGGCTTAAAGATACAATTCAAATGTTACCTCTTTGTTTACAGATCATTTACTCCGTACTTTCGTTACTTTGGTGCTCCAACACCTGTCATTTGGGCTATTGCAAGAGTTCTTAAATGGTCTCCCTATCATCTCATGTTGCCCATATTCTAATGCACCCTTCAGGCTGCCTGCAAAGTCCTATTTACAAAACAGAAATCTGATGATGCTACTCCTCTGCTTAAAGTCCTTCACTAGCATGCTAGTGCCAAGAGGAACAAGACAAAAAGTCCTTTACATGGAGAATAAGGCCTTCTGTAATTTAGATCCAACTCAATGCTCTCATCTTACCTCCTGTTATTCCCCCTCCACTCTGCCCTGCCATGCTGAACAAGTGCTCAGATGTCCTCCCTTTCCTCTGCTGCTGCACATGCCATTCTCTCAATCTGGGATGGTCTTCCTGATTCTGTCTTCCCAAAGGTTCCCTAGTCAAGTTCTCATCTAACCATAACCACTGAACATTCATAAAATGAAACACTTTTCACTAAGCTAAACATAACCCCCCACCACCACCCCTAGAAGTACTCACTTACAGGAAGAAACACAATTTTAAATAATTATAATAGTAAAACTGTGACAAACAGATGTATTCAAAAGGTAAGAAAATAACACAGTAGAAGTAACTAACTTAGATGGTCATAATATATCTCCTGGGAAAGGTGACCGTGGAACTATTCTGAAGAACAATTATATCTTTTATAAACAATAAGAAAAAACATCCCAGAGAGGAGGAGGCCATACTAAAACACAAAAGCACAAGACAGTATTATATAATAAATAGTTCTGCATTGTTGGAAAGTGAGATGAGATAGAAAAGTGGCAGGAAATGAAGCTTAAAGTCCAGCAGATCCAAATCATGAAGGTATTATCATACAATCAAAGAAGCTTTGGTTTTATTCTCTAAGACAGCGAAAAAACAGACTTTCATTCAAGAAAGGTTACTCTAGTTAAGTGTAAGAAAAGACTGAAGAATGAACAAAACCAAAGAAAAAGGTAAGCCAATTGAAAGATTATACTAGTTGAGGAAATAAATAATGATGATTTGATTTGCAAGACTAGCGGTGGGAGATTGAGAAAAGAGAACAGATTGCAGGGATATTTGGAAGTAGAATCACCAGGACTTAGTGACAGATTAGATTCGAGAATCTAATCCTATGAGGGGAAAATCTAAGCTAATTCCCAGGATTTTAGCTTATAAATTTAGTAGCATGCTGGGGTTACTACCATAAATAAGAAATACAAAAATAACAGGCTTTTCTATTTGTCTTTTGTTTTCATAGGAGAACTAAGGGGTTGATGTTGGAAAAGGGCTGAGGAACAGAAACCTGGCAATGCTAAGATGCATGCAGGAAGAAAGAAAAAAACAGCCCGTAAGACTGAGATGGCATAGTCAAAAAGGTAGGAGACAAACAGGATAGACTGGTGTCATGAAACAGTTGTAGACAAGTATACTAGGAATACAGCTCCATGAAAGCATTCTCATCAATAGCTGTATTAAGCAGAAAGCAAGTCCAGCTGCTGAGAGAAGGACTGAGAGACTTCCACTTTGAAGCCCTCTGATTACTCCTCCTCATTTCTCAAGTATTTCAAAATAAGTACCTTGGCAGTACTTACTCTGTATGACACTTTTATAAACCTTACACTATTTTTAAAAACTGCTCATGTTTAAACTGTAGTCTTGAATCCAAGCACCAGTGCTTCATGGTGCTTGGCAATAGTCCCAAGTACCAAATATGTGTTTGCTGGGTGACCAGCAGCATTTTAATACGCATATTTGTTTACACATACTAGACCAAGAGCCCCTCAGAAGGAAGGGCTGTTCCATGTATCTAGTTTCCCCAGGACCTTGCATAATATCTGGAACAGATGAGACTTTAATAAATACTGACCGAACAATTAGAATTAATGCAGTAGTGACAGCTATTTCCTGAGGCAATTTTGTAAGATTTTGTAATTTTAAAATAGAATATATGTAAATTTTTGTTGAACTGTTTTTCATATTAACACTGGAGAAAAAAGACACCCGAACATTCACAAAAAGGCACTGCTTAAGTATCAGGAAGAAATGCTTTACAGAAGTAGCAAACCAAGTAAGAACACACGGGAATTTTTAAGTTTGTAATAGTTAGATTCATGGAGACAGCAAGCAATTTCATTTTTCCTTATGGCATCTCTTTGAAAAAAGAGATGGCCAACAAGAGAAAGGAAGGCAGCATGGTGGTATTCACAAAGGAAATAGTCCAGAAGCAGGCAGGTATCACAAAGCTTAGTGGGAAAACTGATTTCACAAGATTAGGATCTGGTACACTAGCCAGGCTGGAAAGAGAGGTGATCACCTTATCAACATATAAAAATGAAATCAATAACAAGAGTAGTACCATTGTAACCCAGCGGGAAAAAATGTAAAACCTATAAAGGAGTACTGATAGCTATTAGAAGTTTCATATTTTAAATGTTTTGAGTTGTCACATGATTAGAAAATATAATGGAGGATTTCATAATGAGCTAAACAATGCAAAATTGCACAGATGTTACTCATCAACAGCACTTACAATATGGTGACAAATTAATTTATATGACAAGAGTGGTTGGGCATTACAGGAATCTAGTTGGGCTAGACTGCAATGAACATGGGGGGCTGAATAGGAGCCTCGTGAATTAGATCCATGAGAACTATCCTCCATTTTACTCATTATAAGGTGATAAACCCACGGCAGGGGTGGCACCATACTGGCAGAGAGATACTCAGTAACATTCTCCTTAAGCTGTGACACTTACAAATCTATCCCTTGTTCTATTATTTCTTTTTGTTGCTTTAGGACCTCAAATTGTTCTGGATTATCGGTGCCAGACATCTGTGTACTGTAGCTGCCTATTCCTGATGATGATGTTGACTCCAGAGAATTTAAACTTCCATATCTGTTTATTGTCTCAGGGTGTTTGATTTCACTCATCTCTTGCTCTGAGGGTTTTTCCTGACCTGAAAGAAGAAAATTGATAGAGTACATTATTCTATCAAAGAAAAAAAAAAGTGTAAGGGCAAACAAATTCTTGAATAAGGCAAGGCATTTCAATGTCGCTTAGATATCTATTTAATACAAAATAACTATTAGGAAACGTAATAAACAACATACTTTGATATTAAAACACACTGTAATTTGTACGTGTATAGTCTGCACCATTAGGAGGAGTTCTTTTTGCAGTTGCAGTGCTGAGTATCCACTGGATTTCTGCTCTCAGCTCATTCCTCATGAGGAATTGTTTTCGATAACACCAGTGTAGCCCTGCAGCTATGAGTTTTTCTCTGAGTGAGGGTAAACATCAAACACAGATGAACAATTCAACCTTCTTAAAACATACTGCCTTTTATACGTTTCCTCTATAATTATAATACAAGAAAGTTGCATAAATATGCTTCATTTTACATAATCAAAATATTTCTAAGAAGATTCAGAAAAAAATAGCTTGGATAATTAAAGTTAAAACTTTCACAATTTTAAAGCTAGTTATTTAACTCACAGAGAATGCTTCCTCATCAGTTAAATGAATAAATATGTCATGAAATTGGTTTAACAGCATCTGCAACTATCCTGCAAAGTATTATTCACTTAAAATGACAAAGAATTACAACTCAAAATATCACCTTACCAAGAGTTGTCTGAGAGTTGGGATTCACATACTGATCCTTACTCCATTCAACCATACACTTCAAAATCGACACTAAGCATTCTAAACCTTTTTTCCTCAGGCTCAATTCCTACAAAGTAATTCAAAAATACATTTTTTTTTTTTTTTTAAAAAAGGTCTTTTAAGGAAAATACATGACTCTTTCCTGGTAAAGTTTAAATTTGAAAATGTTTTTAAAGTTCTTACCTGAACATTACTCATACCAAGTTCTTGACTGCCCCTTCCTTGAGCAATTTTTGATAGATCATTTACTAGTCTTTCAAATATATTGGCCGCATTTAAGTCACAGTCATAGTTTACATAAATATCCACTACACTCTGAGCATCTGTAACAATATAACATTAATTTCAACAAAGTACATCTAGGATGTGAGTACATTTGGCCTTTTAAATATCTAATAATAAGAAAGGGATAGTAAAAAGGAGGGTAATTTAAAATACCTGCACAAATCCTCGTCAGTGTTTGAATAACCATCCATTTGTGATCAAATGAGCTGGTAGAAGTTTCCAAAATGTATAAGAAAATTTCTTTAAAGAACACCTGTGATTAGGAGAAAACTTCTGTTTAAAATATTGTTTATAATTCATATGTGTGATCCCTTTTTAAACATCCCAAAGCTGTGGAGCAGATATTAGCACCCAGGCTCCTATGGAGTTCAACTCCTTTTGAGTTCCATCTCTGAAACCTCAGGACTAAAATATCTTGGGTAAGTGACTTAAACTTGCCCTTCTAGTTATCAGTACTGCAATTCACACTGTTGTATTTTGTTCTCAACAGAGCTGCTACAAAAGAAATATGCAAAGATTTAGAGTTCCTCCAGGTGATAATTTCTTGAACCCTTTTACAGAATATAACTTATGCTTTTTTAATCCCCCTCGAAAAGCATAATTTATACTTCTGTTCATCAGTTATATTTTTCAGAGACATTCTAGTACTGAGAGGCCTAACTGTTCATAGATTTAAATGTAACTGGTACTCTAATGAACACAATAAAAACAATCTAAGTCTCATACGGTTTTATTTTTCTAATTACTCACGACAGTGAAAATCTCTACTCTTTGAAAACTACATATGAACTATTTCTCACTACTCTTTACACCAAATAATCAAGCGATGAGTTAATCAACCTAATGAGATAAATTTCAATTTAACAGATAAGAATTTTCACATTTAAATGTATTCTATAAAAGTGACTTTAAGAAGGAATGACTGAAAAAAACATGTTAACATTTATGAAACATATGCATTATGAATCCAGAAAATCACATTTATAGTATCTCCCCCTAACTGGATTAGGTACCCCTGTAATGTGATTTTCTCTCACAAAACTCAGCATACTTCTATTTACTTATTTAATATCAGTATCTCCTATAGACTGTAAGCTTGAAGACAGTAATGACCAGGTCTTTCTTGATAAGAATCACGTCCACATTGCAGGGCACATAGTAGGTGTTCAATAAATATTTATGGCAACATGGCCATAATTCCTAAAAACTGCATCAGGGTACCCCAGAATGCTGTAGCAAACTCATGAGGGTGCCATGAAAAAATTGTGAGGCAAAATTCAGAGGGAGATACATCTGTTGGATACCTCGAAAGACTGCTCATGGTTTCAATTAGATAACACTACATTCCCTTCAATGACATCATTATCTCTGCAAAGCTGGGTTTTGGTCATTGCTATGACAAAAAACCAAGTACTGAACGAAAATCAATGAAGTACAGGAATGAGGGGGACAGTGTTCAATTCCAAGATCTAAGAAGCTGTGTGCAGTCTGTAATAGGCACACACATCCCCGTGGTAAGTAAGTGTGGTTAAGAATAAAATAAAAACATTATTTTTCTTTTACTTTATGCAGACTACTGTCTTTGAAATAGATAGTAGGCTGTGAAGACAAATATCCATTAAGTTGTTTGGCCCTGCCTGCTTAATAAATAGAACATAGAACTGGAGGTATTCCTCTGGCCTAAGTGCAACTTTCATGAAAAGTCAGACTCTAACAGTGCCATGAATCAAACACTTTTGGGATTCCCTGATTAACGAAATAAATAACATAGACTGGAAGAGAGAGGAAAGAAAAAATTTTAGCTGTTATCTACGGTTTATCAAATTGTACTAATAAGCAAAAGCCTATTGCCATAATATAAGATACTATGCCTATTGTAATAGGGGCTCTAAAAAAATCAACCTTTTAATGATTTATTGAGCACCTATAATGTATGTATGTGGAACAACAGCTCTGTCTTAAGTATGCTGTCTTCACATATGTTTTCCTGAAAAGTTGTACATAAACTGTATCTTCTGGAATAGATATATAATTTAAGGCCCATGAAAAAATCACATCACAGAAACTCTGAAGTGAATATTCTCATAAAATGAATCTTCATGTAACAACAATCTTAATTTTGTTTTGCAAATTTAGGTTTTCATAGCTGGGCTTTCTCCACGTTCAGGTGTTTTTGTTCTGTTTTGTTTTGTTTTTTGAGATGGAGTTTCACTCTTGTTGACCAGGCTGGAGTGCAATGGCACGATCTTGGCTCACTGCAACCTCCACCTCCCGGGTTCAAGCGATTGTCCTGTCTCAGCCTCCCAAGCAGCTGGGATTACAGGCATGCACCACCACACCCGGCTAATTTTGTATTTTTAGTAGAGATGGAGTTTCTCCATGTTGGTCAGGCTAGTCTCAAACTCCCGACCTCAGGTGATCCACCCGCCTCGGCCTCCCAAAGTGCTGGGATTACAGGCGTGAGCCACTGTACCTGGCGTTCAACTCATTTTTAATTTGAGTGTGTTTAACATTTTTGAAAGTATATCTATATTTATCTCATTTTATCCTCATTATCTCCCCCTGAGGGACAGTAAGGAGTGAAATAAACCTAAATTTTAAAAATTAGAATATTACAATAATTTTGTAATGAGAATCTACCATCTACAAATTGACAAGAAATTTCTTAAAGTTTTTCCTTTCAAATTCATTTTTGCCAAGTCGAATTTGCTGTGCAAAAATAGTAATCTCAACTTAAATAATTTTTGATATCTAGATCTGTAAACAGTACCTACAAAAGCAGAATCTCAGTGTCCAAAAAAATCTGTAATTGGCTACATAAAGTATTACAAAATTTTCTAATGCCAACTTAAATGTCTCATCATCAAATGGAAGACTTCTGGTTTTTTTACAAAAGCAAAAGTTCCAAACGTTTTTTAACTGTCTTTTATTTGTAGTTCCTACAGATAATGGGGGAAAAAAATGATCTAAAAATGGCAACTCTTCCTAGTTAAATGCCTTGTATCATTTTAACAGACATATGGCAAACTCTTAAAACTTGACATCACATATCATATAGGCACCAAAAATGGTTTCCTGTCCAAAACTATGGCCCAAATTAAAAAGCTTTTCACTTAAAATGCCAAGGCCTAATTCTGTTTCATTCTCATAACAATGTTCTAAATCAATCTTGATAGCTATTACAGAACATTAACATTAAAGGATAATATGACTATTTTAGCCATCGTGAAATTCTGGAAAAATAATTTATCCTTTCTATCAAGCTAGTGAATTATGAGTCTTGAGTTAGGATTAAATATAAAATAAACAAAAATTAAAATATAACCTGTATATCAAACATAATATGAAGGTAAAAACTGACAACATAAAAATGAGTATTTTTTAAACATACAACATCACAACCAAAACAACATTTCAACAAATAACAAATTGAAAAAAGCATTCATTAAATTGGTAACACATAAGAACTATTTTAAGTTTTATTTGAAGATGAAAACAAAAAAATCAGAAACTGGTACACCTTCCAAAAAAAAAAAAAAAAAAACCACTTAAGGCCAGGTGCAGTGGCTCACGCCTATAATCCCAGCACTTTGGGAGGCAGATGCAGGCAGATCACCTGAGGTCGGGAGTTTGAGACCAACATGACCAATATGGAGAAACCCCGTCTCTACTAAAAATACAAAATTATCCAGGAATGGTGGCACACGCCTGTAATCCCAGCTACTCAGGAGGCTGAGGCAGGAGAATCACTTGAACTCAGTAGGCGGAGGTTGTGGTGAGTGGGGATCGCGCCACTACACTCCAGCCTGGGCAACAAGAGGGAAACTCCATCTCCAAAAAAAAAAAAAAAAGAAAGAAAGAAAGAAACTGGTACACTTGCACAACACATGCAGACACGATTGAAAAAATCCCTAATTTAGTTCTACTAATTCTCTGACAATATTTTAGAACCACATGATTGTTATTCTATTTCCAAAGATCCTGGGAGAAAACTTTAGGAATATATACATTAAAAAAAAAAAAGTACAAAGCAAATATTAATTTTTTTCAAATATCCTAAAACAGAACCCCAAAATATAATGCCCCTCAATCACATCTTTTAAAATGCCTAATACTTATAAATGGTTTAAAATAATGGCGATGCAGTATATATTTGGAACTTTCTTTTAAGATAAACAAATGTATTATAATATACCACATAGACAATGGCAAAGCTATTGTGAGGACCAAATTAATTCAAGAGAGCAAGAACCATTTATTCAACTAGTACAAGTTCCTTGAGGACAGCAGCTGCATCTTATTTCATTTTGCATTCTTAGTGCTTATCCAGTGCCTAGTACTTCGTTGGCACATGTTAGTTGAACAGGTGAATGAAAAAACAGAAGTGCATGGCAATATACAAAAATTATTTCACATTCTGGAGACCTTTCCAGTGTATTCAAATCTGATTTAACGTGAAACAAATGAAATATTATATTCCAATAGTAATATTATATTTCAATGCCTAAATGCAAAACGTACCTCAATTTGCATCTTCAGATGTGTTTTGAAATTTGACAACAAAGTAAGAAATATAGAAAGAGAAAGCTCGAAAACCTCTGGAACAGAAGAGACTCCATTTTTTGAGAGTGCAACACAAAGATACTGCTTAATAGCATTAATAAACATCTCATTTGTCCTGAAAACAGGTCCTGCATTCTGCAGAATGGATAGAAGTAACTGCAATGAAAGAATCTTGGATCGGAGTTCATGAGACCTAAAATGTAAAAAAGAAGGCACAATATATGAACAAGGTTGGCATTATAGTAATAACAAGTTGTTCCAAAAATATTTCCAGATACACATTTCATAAACTTTGTAAATGGAGAGGAAGATAAAATTCTATAACATAAAAAAAGTATAGTACATGAACAACTCAGCCACTAACAACAGGTGCTTTCACTGATGTTCCCTTGAACCATGTATTTATAATTTCACAAACTTTTAAAATTTATTTATTTATTTTGAGACAGAGTCTTGCTCTGTCACCAAGGCTGGAGTGCAGTGATCTCAGCTCATTACAACCTCCAACTCCCGGGTTCAAGTGATTCTTCTGCCTCAGCCTCCCAGGTAGCTGGGACTACAGGTGCCCACCACCACACCCAGCTAATTTTTTGTATTTTTAGTAGAGATGGGGTTTCACAGTGTTAGTCAAGATGGTCTTGATCTCCTGACCTCGTGATCCACCCACCTCGGCCCCGCAAAGTGCTGGGATTACAGGCGTGAGCCACTGCGCCCAGCCCACAAACTTTTTTAAAAGAAAAAAAATATTCACAAATATTTAACATCAACCCATTGTTTTACTGGAAAAGAAAAAAAACCATGTGAAGATATATGCTGTGTTCCTTTCTTTCACAACCATTCTTCTCCTTACAAATCATCAGCAACTTCTCAGATTAAATGCCATATTTAATATTAATACACAACCGTTCCAATGGACTTTTTTCTGCTTATGCTACTCAGAAATCCTAAACAATAATAAAAAAGTTTTGGTTGCATTAACAAGTGACAGCACTAATTCAAGCTTACTTTTTCAGTAACCATTTAAAGATTTTTTTTTTCTTTTGAAATAAATATAGAGGTATTCAGAACAATTAAAAACTTTAAGGCCAGGCATGGTGGCTCATGCCTGTAATCCCAGCACTTTGGGAGGCTGAGGCAGGTGGATCACTTGAGGTCAGGAATTTGAGACCAGCCTGGCCAACATGGTGAAACCCCGTCACTACTAAAAATACAAAATTAGCCAAGTGTGGTGGTGGGCACCTGTAATCCCAGCTACTCGGGAAGCTGAGACAGGAGAATCACTTGAACCTGGGAGGTGGAGGTTGCAGTGAGCTGAGATCACACCACTGTACTCCAGCCTGGGTGACAGAATGAGACTCCGTGTACAAAAAATAATAATAAAATAAAATAAAAATACAAACTTAAAATAGCTTAGCAACTTATTCTAAATAATTTTGTAATGAAAAGCTGAAAAAGTAGTTTTTGGCTTAAAATTTTTAATTTTTTTCCCAGTCAATATACTGTGGCATGCTTCTGATCACTACCTAGTGTTTTAATTATTTGATTTTGCAAACACAATTTTCCTTCCATTGAAACTGATCTCTTAAGCCCAACAGACCAAGGACATTGATCCCAGGCAACATTTCAAATGCAGAACACACCAAAATGCTCTAGCAGATGGTTCTTTTTCAAAAAAAAAAAAAAAAAAAGTAGCCCAAATGCTACTTTCAGTCATATTTACACTATATAGTAAACTTAACTGCCCTTGATTTCCACCTGAAAAATTTTATGGTTATAAGTGTCAAGTAATTCAAGAAGCTACATAAATCTAATGAGGAATTGCTAATTTCACGTAAATGGGTATCACAAAAAAATACTACTTTCTCTGAAATAAAACTGAAGCCAATAATATTATGGCTCATTATTACACAGTCACGTTTCTAAGATGGCCATTGCCCTGAATCTTCCTTTGAATCTAAAAATATGTGCAGCAAATACATAATTACCAAAAAAATGCTTAGACAAATCAAGTTAGAGACAGCGAGAACTAAGATTTCAAATAGCTACAGGGAACTACAAATTAACCCACCATCTCCCCTCCCTGTTCTAGTCTTCTAAGGCTTAAATACTACTTCCTGTTCTAGCTCACATTTATCACCTATTATGCTCAATTCCTATTGTAATTAAATCCTGCAGCTCACCATTCTATAACAATGTTTGTTCTAAGTATGTTTTATATTTGTATTCCCAACATTTAATAAAATATCTTGTATACTGTACATGCTATAAAAAAATGGATTTATTCTTGTATTCATCCATTTATTAAATACCTACTGTGTACACGGCAATAATGAATGAAGAAATGATTAAACAACTGTCTTATGACACAATAAGTTATACTTCTGAAAGGCAAAAGAGGCTGGAAATATCAGGTCTGCAGTTTTTCATGGGGTAGTTTCAAATTATGATTCAGGCTTAAATAAGAACATTTCCTGGATCATCATTTTAGCAAGACCAGAAAATATAAAGGGGAGCAAAGACAAAAAAAAAAAAAAAAAGAAAGAAAATTATGTAACTACAAAAGCTTGACTTTTGGCCAAAAAAGAAAAAAAAAATCATTAAAGACAGAAAACTACATATTCTTTTGGAAAAAGAATAGCTTCTAAGGGTGTATTCAGTATTCAATTCCATTGTTTAACGACCCTGATAGTCAAGTCAACAAGGTCTTCAAACAAAATTTCCTAATATTTGGTTTAAACCCACTAAGTATAAGGCTTGTTAATTTACATTATTCCTCATAAGAATCCTTTGTAACATTAAAGATTGCATCTTTTCAAAACCAGATCACTCTTTTTTCAGGGATAAACTCTTCCCTACCCCAAGTACTCCTCAAAATTCGTATTATTTTCCTTTGTGTCCTTTTCATTGTCAGCATTTTAAAGAATTTCTTCTTTTCTGTTTCTAGCATTCTTTCAAATCACAATTTTTACATTTGATTTGGAAAAAAGCATCTGAGGCTTTAATGGTCAATAATATTTTTAAAGCATGGCAAAAATGGCCTTCAGCAATAATACCAAATCTTATCTCTTTCTTAAAGTAGGTCTTCACTGATTCAGAATGAGATGTTAAAACTGCTGATTTTTGAATGAGACTTTTTAAAATTCAAAACTGTCGATTTTTTAATGAGATTTTTGAATGTTTATTTCTGACTTAGGGTTTGGGTCTTAAAAGAGATTTTATGATTTTAGGCTTCTGGGTCTAAAGGATGTTTCTCCCTGAACTGGTACAATCTGACAAAATTAAACAAATATAACAAATGGAGTTTCCAGATATGTATGAAGTTTTCACAGCAACTGTCTCTGGTCTGCTCAGTTGGCACTTAGAAACTGAAACACTCTATAGAATTTTTTTTAATTGAAGTACTGTTGTCTTACATCTCTATTTCAATATCCCTTTCTTAAAGTTATGGTCTGCTCCAAGGTTTCTTTCTCCAGAAAGTTCTAAAATTGTCATACTGCAATACATCATGCTGCAGTATTAGAGAGGCAGGCAACTCATATAACTTCCAAACTCAATCTCAAGAGTAATTAGTTACATTTGAATCATATGAGAGATACCTGACCATTTATGACTTACAAAAATGGCACTTTCCTAGGGTTTAATCTAACATATTTCATGAAAATTAGACAAGTGGCTCCTAACTCAAAGTTCTTCCTGATCCCAATAGAGAAAGATATCATCCTAGGGCATTTTGTCAGACCTTAATGAATATGCATTATCTTTCATTACAACTTTTAAGATCTTTTAGGTTTTATTACCTTTTGACTGGCAGTTTTTAGAAACCTAGGACTGGGATACAGGGTTACATTAGCTCCAAAGTTACTTATATGGAAATAAGAATTCACTAATTCATTCATTTGATAACACTTACTGAGCCCCTCCTATGCACCAGGCACTATTCTAGAATGCTGTCATACCCTTTAGGAAATAGCATAAGTTATCTATTCCAGCAATGTTGAAACTTTGTGTTTTTAGAAAATAGTGTAAGTCACATACCCTTTAGGAAATAGTGTAAGTTATCTACTCCAGCAGTTTTGAATTGTTTTTCAATACTTTTTTCTTAAACGTAAAATACCTCCCCTCCACCCAATTTTTTTTATGGTTCTATAGGACAAAAAGAACAAAAGAAAATCCAAACATTACCTTAACAGTAACTTTCAAGCCTAAAAACCTCTATTTGTCAGGCAAAACAGTTAATAACTTACTTTGGATCTGGCGGTCCATCTGACAGTGGTTTCATTGACAGTTTACACAATGACCTGAATACTAGAAAGGCATCCTTTTGTAAAATGTGGGAAAACTTAGCACCAGGTGAAGGTCCTGAAGAATTTCCAGATTCCTAAACAAGTTAACACACCATGAAAATTTTAGAGATATTTGCCAGTGTAAAATCATTTCAGCCTTCTACTGTATTTCATTCAATTCACTAACAGGTGGAGATTCCCCCACTATTGGAAGGGGAAGCAGATGAGGGAATCTGCCACATTGTTTTTCTTTTATACTCCATGGACCACACCCAACAATAAATACCTTTAAAAATGCACTTTAAAAATATTCCTTATGAATAAACCAAATAAACTCTTAAAATTTACCCAGCTCATACTATTACTGACAAAAAAACTGATACATCATGCCTGACAAGATCCTATCCAAAGACTAAATTATACTCCCTACTACCTGTCATTGACTGTTTCATGCTTTTGTCCTATTTTATTTTTTGTCTTACTGTGGGCAAACATAAACTGAAGGCCAACCAAGTCAAGAAAACCTACTCCTAAATATGGGACACTTAGTGTAGGACTCCTTTACCTAAAAAGGCAGATTTTTACACACAGAATATAGGGTAGGAAGGAGGAAAAGAACCTGTCATTACCAAGGTACTGATTTCTTTGCAGCCCTAAACAAAGGTTAAGGTGAAGTTCCCTAAATTTCTAAAAGTTTTCTCACCATGCAACACAGGTTGAGTTACCTGAAATGCTTGGGACCAGAAGTGTTTTGGGTTTCAGATTTTTTTGGATTTTGGACTATCTGCATTATACCGATTGAGCATACTAACCCCAAAATCCAAAATGTGGAATTCTCCAATAAGCATTTCCTTTGTGTATGACCTTTGAGTGTCACCTTGGCACTCAAAAAGTTTTGGATTTGGAGCATTTTGAATTTCAGATTAGGAATATTCCACCCATTCCGGAATTATCTTGTGAATATGTAATAAGAATGTTCTTATTAAATGTTAATTCAATTCGTAGATGGGTGTGGAGAAGATGTAAATATAGATGAGACATACCTTAAAGTTGGAAATATAACTATCAAAATATGAAGGGGAAAAAAATCGCTGTAATTTATATAAATGAAGGAAAAAAAAAAACCCAATTGTCTTATTTCCCCAAACTAAATAAAACCAGGCAGCAGCATCAGCTGAAAATACTCATGACAAGGTGGTGGCAGCCTATAAATTTGTAAGATTAACAGGATTTCTCCCCCTCCCCACCCCTCCATTTATACCTGAGTATCATTGGAAGAGACTGACAATCTATCATCAGGTAAGGATGGTGTATATGCAACAGAAATTGGTGTTCCTGGAATTCCATTTGCTTGAATATTTTCACTGTCACTACCATCCTCTATCGTTCCAATGTTGCCATCTGCGCTTGCATTTATAGCAGTCCTTTCTCCCATATCTAAAATGATAAGAATAAAAACCATGCAAATATATCTGACTTAACCGAAGTGTATTTAAAAAGCATACAGTACTTAAAATGAAACAGTGGCAGGAAAGCAATGTGAAGTAAAATATGTATTGGCACCATTTAAAGGTTAGCATACTTACTACTAAATAAGTATGCATCGGGCATACTTCCAAATACAATCCTTAAGTTGCTCTGGCAATGAAACACACTTCGCTGATGAAAGGCTAACCAGGATGTGCCAAAACAGAAGCTTACTTTTAGTCTATATTAGCATTTACTGAACTGGGTTTTGATGAATGCTAATGACTTGAGATGTGAACACAAATTCCTCGAAAAAATATCTCATTGTCAAATTAGTTCAGGAAATGCTGGGAAATAGGTTTCTTTATTATAGCCTTTAAGATGCTAGTATGTACAAAACTCTCCAAGTATATACAGTGTGTAGTGTTTCCAAAATTTATTTTACCATAAGCCCCCTTCCCGTTTTTAGAATTCCTATGAATATCTAACACTCTATGTTCTCTGGAACACAGCCAGGGAAATAATGACCTACACCACTGAAAATTTTTCACTAGGTCACTTTGAGTGACCATACTTGTAATTAATATAAACAGAAACAAATGACTTATGGTAGAATAAACAGAGATAATGAAAATAATACCAAGTTCCAGAACTACTCTAGGTATAATGAAACTCTTTCATGCTACCAATTGAAAGAAAACTGTAAGATAGTATGAGAGACACAAGCTGTACTATAAAGAACACAGATTCTGAAATATTTTTAAAGACCCGTATTTCAATCATGTCTTTACCAGTTAATTGGGTAAATTATTTCATCTGTGTTTGCCTGGGTTTCTTCCTAAGTAACAGAAATAATAAGGTCTATGAGGAACCACCAAAACACAGATACAAGACATAAAGAATAAAACTGGTACTCAGTAAGTGGTAGTTATTACTAATTTTGTTACTAATTGATAACATGTCTCCAACTTTGAGTGACTCAAGTAATACGAAAAGAGTAGCAGCTTCTGGTTCCCCTATCCAGAAGTTGCTTTCTCCTCTCCAAATCAGAACACCCTGGAATAGATGAAACTGGATAGCCTGGGTGCAGTGGCTCCCTGCTGTAATCCCAGCACTTTGGGAGGCTGAGGCAGGTGGATCACGAGGTCAGGAGTTGGAGAGCCTGGCCAACATGGTGAAACCTCGTCTCTACTAAAAATACAAAAATAAGCCAGGCATGGTGGCAGGCGCCTGTATTCCCAGCTACTCGGGAGACTGAGGCAGGAGAATCACTTGAACCCGGGAGGTGGAGGTTGCAGTAAGCCAAGATACCACCACTGCACTCTAGCCTGTCAGAGCAAGACGCCATCTCAAAAAACAACAACAACAAAAAACCCTGGATAATTCCAAAGCAAGTTTTGTATTAATAAGTATAAAATGAAAAATATATTCAGTAATAAAATACATTATGAAAACTGTTATACAAAACAGATGCTTTCTTAGAGGACTTCTGGAGCTTTAATATGCTAATATTTGATGCGCTAAATACCACTATAGCTTTTATATATTACATATATAAAGAATGCATAGGCCAGGCACGGTGGCTCATGCCTATAATCCCAGTACTCTGGGAGGCCAAGATGGGAGGATCACTTGAGGTCAGGAGCTCAAGATCAGCCTGGGCAACATGGTGAGACACCATCGCTACAAAAAACTTTTTTTTAAAAAGAATGCTTACATATGTAAAGACTGTGGAAAGACTTAGAAAAAAACAAACAAACAATGATTATTAGAAACTGAGTTCCTATCTCATTCCCCAGAGTACTTATTCCAAAACTTATTCTCTCTGTACCCAATTACATCTCTTCCTATGATTCTCCCCACCTCCCATTAACAAATGACTTCCACCTACTACTTAGCTAAAAATCAGGTAATTTAACATAGGCTCCCACACTGTCTCTTGCAGCACCACAAAAATACATCTCTTCTTGCCTTCAACAGTATCGTCCTCCACTAAGTACTTTAACATTGCTTTTTCAATTTTGTGCACACAACTGGAACTTCCCCATTATCCAATAAACATTCAAATATTTTCTCACACACACATAAAATCTTCCTTCGCCTCTTGCTACACCTCAGTTCTTGTCCATTTTCTTCCCTCTTTTTATTAAATTTCTCAAATGAATACTCAATATTCTTTGATATTACTTTCCTCCTTTCCATCTCAAGAAATTTCTCAAAGAAACTGAAAACATTTCCTTATTTTCTTTTTAGACTTTGAAGCCACACCCCTGTGGGCTGAAATCTTCACTTTGTCATTTCTTTGAAAGGAATAATCACTCATTGCTTCAGTTTTCTCATTTGTAAAGAGGGGATAGTAATAGTATCTAAACATCCCAGTGTTTGAGGGAAGAGTAAATGAATAAATACAAGCATATAAAATCATTTGGGATATACAGGAAGCACTTAATACAGTTGGATATTACTACTGTCTCATGTTTTTTCCTCTAATTATCCTTTAAACATAGATGCAAACTTCTACTTTCAAGGCAGTGAATTGAGCCTACCAATTTACCTTCTCCTTTGACAAATCCCACTGAAATTACAAAAAAAAAATATAAACAAGAGATGTACTTTTAATAACGCTGATAAACTAAGAAGCATATCACTGGATCATAAACTTTGAGGAATTCCTAGAAAGTAGGTTGAGATCAAAAGAAAAGCTATTTAATTTATTGCTTATGACTGAACATATGCAAAGAATAGGCCTACCTGAGAGATATGATTGTTTTACCACTTGGGTTCTAAAGACTTCAAAGCCTAGAATGGCAAAGTGCTATGAGGTAGAAGGGAAGACACAAATCAAAGAGCTTGGGGAACCATGCCAATGTCTATCAATAGAGCTGACCACAGCCATGATCATCTAGACTATATTTGATCACTGCCTGCTAATTAAAGTAGATTGTTTAGTAGGTCTCCTAACAGAACAAGTAGATCAGGAAAGGAGAGCAGTATCTCAGCTAACTGGGAATGCTGCAATAAACACAGAGGGAAAACCAACTAAGGTTCTAGGCTCCTACTCTGTTTCTACTTAATTATTTCCAATTAAAGCCATTTCTGAATGATGCCAGCCTAAGATTCCCTGGTAAGGGTGGGAGAGTGAGAACAAATCAACAAGTGTGAAGATCTCCCTCAGTGTAGAATATATAAAAAGTGTATAGCATTCATCCCAAGTTTCACTTGACTTTGGTTTGTGTTGACAACATGGTGAATGATATGGGCCTACACAGCCCAAGGGTCACTAGAGCCACCCTGCTCAAGGGAGGTAACTGCTTCTTTGCTCTCAGCTTAGAAATGAGGTCTGCCTTTGGACCACAGTCACCTCATTAATTTTGGAAAGGAAGGCCTCACAAGAAACAGAAAAAACATATACACAATTACTAAAAGTAGACTGATCAAATCTAGCCTCTCTTTCTACAAATAAGCAAAAACATAAAGTTTACAGCTCAAAAGTGAAGACAAAGGACAGCAATCTGAGCAAATGGGGAATTAGATTTCACAGCTGGGACAGTTACAGTTAGTACAGTCAGTGATAAGTGAAGGAATGTTGCAATAATACACAAGAGCAAAGTGCTATTAAAAAAAGCAGCTCAGAGAAAAACGGGGTTCTTAGGGATGAAAACATTACTGAAATAAAAACTACACTGGAAAAAGCAGTAGAATGGATATTACTAAAAAATATTTGCAAAGTGGAAAAACCCTTGTAACATTCTCATTGAATGTAAAACCCTAAGACAAAATGATGGAAATTAGAGAAGATTGCAACAGCAATCAAGGACATGATCTAGAATATTCAACATCTGTATAGTGTGAGATGTGGAAAAGAACAGAAAGGATGAAGAATAATTAACGACAACAACAAAGAAAATATTTCTAGAATGATGAAAAGGCATAAAAAAACCCTGCTACTCCTGATTTAAAAAACAAGTTAAATTCATACCCATGCCCACACAGTCATGTATGTACAAAAGATAAACGTATCTTTTAATAAACTACAAACAAGAAAACTTACTTAATTTGATAAAGAGTATCCTCCAAAAACAAAAGCAATCATCAAATTTAATGGTGAAATATAGCAATAATGTTTTAAAAAAACAAAGAAGATCCTTGCCAACATTAACACTATTCATCATTTTCTGGAGGTTCTAGCCAATGTAATGTAACAGAAAAAAACAAACAAAAATAAGGTATAAGTGCTGTAAAGGAAGAGACAAAGACAAAAATATCATTATTCACTTAGAAAAAATAGCCAAATGAAAAACTTTTAGAAATAATACGAGTTCAGAAGGTGACCAAGTAGGAGATAAATACGGAAAAACAAGAATTTTTCTATATTCCAATTAAATTAGGTAATAGAGAAGAAAGGAATCAACCAAAATATTATCAAAACTAAACCAAAAATATAGAAATAATTTAACAAAAAATGTGCAAGAGCCAAAGGAAGAAAACAATAAAACTTTCCTGAATGATATGAAAGACTTGACTAAATGAACTTTTCATGTTTCTGGAGAAGACTCGATATTGTTGCAAAGAAGATATTATCTTCCCAAGTTAATTTATAAGCACATTACAATTTGAATTACTAAGCTTTAATTTTTGAACTTAATAAAGTGGTTCTAAAGTTCATCTAAAAAAAACACATTTAATAGATATTTTAAAAATTGATACCATAGAATACAAAAATTAAAAACTAAAGAAAAAAATTGAAGAGGGAGGCCTTGCACTATAAAAATCAAAATATACTATAAAGCCAAACTATTTTACATAATTCAACACTGGTTAGGAACAGACAAGTGGCTCATTACAACCATACAGAAAACTCAAAAAACAGAACCATTTAGGATAAAATTTTCATTTCAAATTAATTGAGAAATGATTATTTCCATACGTTATATATTAGCTATACAATTTTACACCATACAGAAAAATAA